TAACACAAATGTTAAAAAATTCTTTTTTATTTACTACAGTCAGGTTTTTTGGTTTAGGATTAAGTTGGTTTAGGTTTAATTTTTTTTATAATTTTAATAATATATTTTGTATTAATTAATATATTTTAAAAATTAATTTTGATATTAATTTATTTTTAACATATAAACTAATATTTATTTCTTAATAAATCTAAATGCTTAAGTTAAGCATTTTGAATTTTCAAGAAAAGAATTTTGTGATATTATTTCACAAAATTACAGCAGCAGAACTTTGCAAAACCGTACCCTTTCGCAACCGCACCGAACTCCGTTTTTAATCAAATCCACGTCACGGAGTAAAGTCCCGACGAACGGACCGACCCATAATTACACGCGCCCACGCATTTCGATTTTTCTATTTACCACAGTCAAATATTCTTTTACCAATCTTCATATATTATAAGACTTAATTTTCCTTAAATAAATTTAAATATGCATCTTGTATTAGCGGATTATTAATTAAAAAAATAATAACTAAAATTAAAATTTAAAATTAATTATATAATATTAATCATATTATTAAAATATTAAAAAAATAAATTATATATTACTCAATTATTAATTTTTTAATTTTTTTTAAAATCAATTATATTATATATTAATTAATTTAATAACGTAACACATCATTCATCTCAATTTTTTTTTTTAAATTTTCATCTTATGCATCATTACTCATTATAAAAATTATTTTCCGTGTGGATTTGGCTTATAAACCAATACATACTGCCTTAAATCGAAAGGCTTAAGTTAAGCATTTCCATTTTGTAATAATAACCACACAACACAAAACTCTGACTAGTCGTAATTAATCTGGACAACTTGGGGTACCTTCGTAATTCAACCTAACTTAATAAACGTTTTATTTTTCTTAATTACACTTCGCAATTAATTACACTTCGCTAAATAAACTAAAGACCAGGCCCTAGCCGTGCGGGAGGAGAGGAAGAAGAAAGGAAGCGAAAGGAAAAAGAAAAGAAAATAATTTTTTTTTTAAAAGAAGGAACAGGTCTCCTTTCAAAACAACAGCGAGGGAGGAGAAGGCTTAATCTCTTCTTCAAAAGATTGAACCTTGTTGGAGGATTTAATCTTCTCCTTCGAATCATTTTCCACATTTTCTCTTCTTCAGATTCTTTGGTTTCGTTTGTAGTGTGAAATCCGACAGGAGGCGTTTGAACTCTCGTTTTTGGTGTTTCGATTGAATGATTGCTGTTGGAGGCTCCGGGAGTAGATCGAGAAGGAATCTGTGTTTCTGATCCGATCAGTATTTGCGAGACATGGTATTCTATTGGCATTGTTTTTGGTTTTCGATTGGTTTTTGTGTTGTTTTTGTGTTTTTTTTAGTTATAGATTGTGTTAAATCTGCGGAATTGGGTGGGAATTTGGTATGTCGTTGTTGTTTTACTCTCTTTTTGACTGATCTGGACTTGAGTTGAAGCAATATGGATTTCGGCTGCTGTTTCTTGATTTTCGTGGATATGTTTTTCAGTATTTTATTTTGATCTGATAATCTGGCTGTTTGTGGGAAGCCTGGTTCAGAATTTGATTTTTACATTTGCTATATCTAGTTGAAATCTCGGCCCTTTCGACAACATAGTTAAGCTGTAGAGTACTGAATTAACAGCCAGTTAGATCGAAAGCCTTGTTGCCAAATGCAATCTCATTGTAAGCACTGAGAACTGATCAACGCAAGTTTAAAAAATGGATTAGTGTCAATGACGCGTCTAGCTAAAACCTATTGGGGAGACAATGTGGTAACATTTTTCAATTGATGTCAACTTCTTATTTGACCTTCAAGGATTAGGGCAGGTCCTGTGATTAGTCTGATCAAATTGGACCTAAAGTTCGTCAATTTCAGTACTTTCGGAAGGTGGTCTTAACTAGATGGCAAATAAAAAAGTTGGTCTCAACTGATTTTTATGGTGGTGATGCTGCTAATGCAACAATGCTAGCATGTTATAGTTGATTTGAATTGGTTAATGGAGTGGATTTGAGGTTTTGCATGCTAAGTTAATCGTTGTGTTAACAATGTTGAAAATTATGCTGCGAAAGTGGCTCTTATAAGTTACTTGCTGGGGTTTCAAGACAATCTAAATTTGAAACTACTCAGACTCAGGGGTCTTTTATTTTAAATTCACGGTCATGTAAGAAGTTATCTCTTTGATGGAACCATTGCTGAAGTTGTTATTAAATTGTCTTAATACTCAGTTTAAAGTGAAGGAAATACTCTACAAATATATGCTGATGCTTGCAAACTATATTTCAAATGTTTTATCAGCTGCCTTACATATTCTTGTATTCTGTAGTAGGCTTTTAAATTCTCTCAATCTCAATTGATCTGGTCATAAATGCTAAGATGATATGTTTGCTGGTTCATATTATTGGTAGTGATGTCTAAATCTCACTTCAAGAACAGCTATAGTGACAATTTATTTATATTACTTAATAATTGATACTCCGGGCTTTGTAGGCTGCTACTGTCAGTCTTGTGGTTGGATCTCTTGTTTGGGTGGAGGATCCTGATGAAGCTTGGGTAGATGGTGAAGTTTTGGAGGTTAATAGTGAAGATATTAAAGTTCTCTGCTCTTCAGGGAAAACGGTGGGTGACTTGTACGATACTATCAGCTGTGATATGCTATGTTTTGAATGCTGGTTTTTGAATTGCTACTTACTTCCTACCATCATATCTATTTATTTTCCTTTTAAGTTTTTTTCCCTATTTTCCTTGACAAGTATTTTTTTCTGCCCTCTTAAATTGCATGAGCTCCCTAATTGAAGATCAAAAGGGAATCAGTTGAGAAATATTCAATATGGAATCCTTATTTCTTAATTTTTGAAAACTTCAGGTTGTTGTCAAGGCTTCCAATGTCTACCCTAAAGACGCAGAGGCCCCACCATGCGGAGTGGATGACATGACAAAGCTAGCTTATTTGCATGAACCAGGAGTCCTTGAAAATTTAAGATCAAGATATGACATCAATGAAATATATGTAAGTTTTGTGCTAGCAAAAGTTAATGGTTTCTTCTTTCACCGTGTGGGTATGGTTTATCTTCATATTTTACCAGAGTGGGGCATAGTTGAAGCAAGCTGAATGAATAGTTTGCTTCTTTGTTTTATTTTATTTTTTAATTTTATGTTGATTTATGACATTTATTGGTTTCAGAGGCATCTTTGAGTTCCTGCTTATTTCTGACATTTTATTAATGTGATCTGGCTTTTGATCAATTGATGCTTCCAGACATATACAGGAAACATATTGATTGCTGTGAATCCTTTTAGAAAACTCCCTCATCTCTATGATAGCCATATGATGGCACAATATAAAGGGGCAGCCTTCGGTGAGCTGAGCCCACATCCCTTTGCAGTTGCAGATGCTGCGTACAGGTACTCTGTCACTTATTTGTAAGTTGTTCATTTGATTTAGTTTGTAGCCTGGAATTGAAAATTGCATTGCCATGGGTGCAGACAAATGATCAATGAGGGAATAAGTCAGTCAATTTTGGTTAGTGGTGAAAGTGGTGCTGGTAAAACAGAAAGCACAAAATTGCTCATGCGATATCTTGCTTACATGGGAGGGAGAGCTGTTGCAGAGGGGAGAACGGTGGAGCAGCAAGTCCTGGAGGTAAAATTCTATGTCTGAGGAAAGATCTTATTTAATTAATTAATTAATTTTTATTTTTTGGGTTCTGACATCACAAGATTGAATTTTGCATCTCTAATTTGTGGTTTTCTCAAATTTGTAGTCCAATCCTGTTTTAGAAGCATTTGGCAATGCTAAGACTGTTCGAAACAACAACTCAAGGTGGGAATATTATTAGTCAAGAAGTTTCTACATTCACAGAAAATTCTCTGCTGGACTGTTTGATTGATTGTCTTTTATCTTCATTTTTATGTGTTCAAATGCTGTAGTCGTTTTGGTAAGTTTGTGGAGATTCAATTTGACCAAAGTGGAAGGATTTCTGGAGCAGCAATTAGAACTTATTTGTTAGAAAGGTCACGTGTTTGTCAAGTTTCTGATCCTGAGAGAAATTATCATTGTTTCTACATGCTTTGTGCTGCACCGTCTGAGGTAGGTGGTCTTCAACCATAATGCTATTTATATTTTAATTTAGAGATTTTCTGTGCATCTTATTATCTCAGTTGATTGGAGAAATGGATTTTTTTATCAGCATTGGGGATTTAGTTTTGAACTTGGCATTGAGAAGAAATTTTTAGTCTTTCCTCTAATTCTAGCTTCAGATATTGATAAGAGTATAACATAATGATACATTTCTAGTTGCTCTTAGGTTCCTAGTTGAGTCCAATTTTTGTTTCTTGTTTCCGTGATTAATATGTTTTTCTTCATTAAATTTCCTAATGTATCAATATCTTAAGAGATGTTTGTAGCTCATTATCAGTTATTGTCTTTGACTTACCATACAAAGACTCCAGTGAGGATTTCCCTTGTTAGTAGATTCCTATTTAATGTTTGGTAAGGATGGAGTTATAAAACTTTTGTTGGTTTTGTCTTTCTTGCCCTGAGCTATCAATTTAAGTCTTTATTGATGTTAGAGATGAACATTCCACTCAGCTGTGTTCTTGCTGTATCAGTTGAAATTAGCAATTTTCCACTAGTCATGACAAGAACTTAAAATAGTATGTTCACATGGGCTTTCAGCATTACAAAATATAGCTACTGAAGTTGATCTACACTTCTTGTGTTGCATTTTCTTACAAAGCAACATATGCCTTTTTCATCCTTGTCCCCAAACCCTTGATGATCTATCTCTCCTTTTTTCTTTCTTTTTTTTTCTTTTTTACTACTAGGATATTCAGCGTTACAAATTGGGAAACCCAAGGACGTTCCACTATCTAAACCAGTCAAATTGCTATGAGTTGGATGGGGTTGATGACTCTAAGGAATACATTGCAACAAGGAGGGCAATGGATATTGTTGGAATGAGTACTGATGAACAGGTATGTGTGTGGAAAATTCTCCTTCTGGCAGGTGTGATCCTTTAAATCATTGTTCTTTTTGTTCTTATTCTTATATCTATCTATCCCTTGTCAGGATGCAATATTCCGGGTTGTAGCTGCAATTCTCCATCTTGGAAACATTGAATTTGCAAAAGGAAAGGAGATTGACTCCTCAATGCCCAAAGATGACAAATCTTGGTTCCATCTAAGAACTGCTGCTGAACTTCTCAAGTAAGTATGCAACTTCACTGATATGCACTGGCACACCTGGAAGTTGTGCTAGCTTATCTGCATTTGTTTTTCATTCTCTCACAATCTAAGACAGATGTTTAACTCCAAAAATATTTTTAGGTGTGATGAGAAGTTACTTGAAGATTCTTTGTGCAAACGTGTAATTGTAACTCGTGATGAAACCATTACAAAATGGCTGGATCCAGAATCTGCTGCTACTAGTAGAGATGCTTTGGCTAAAATTGTGTACTCAAGATTGTTTGATTGGTATGATTTAATCTTGCTGTCTAAAGTTAGACATTTTTTCCTTGGTTCCTTGGTCTTTCCTTTTTGTTCTGTTGTTGACATTTGTTAAGATAGTGGACTATGTGCTTGTAACTTTTATTCAATTCCCTCTTTTTATTTTTTTCAGGCTTGTGGATAAGATCAATAGTTCAATTGGACAAGATCCCGACTCAAAGTTTTTAATTGGGGTGCTGGATATTTATGGATTTGAGAGTTTCAAGACCAACAGGTACTTAATTGGCATTCCCTTTTGCTTTAATAATTGACTGTTGACTCAGTGAATAAAAGTGGAAGTTTTGCTCTCTAAAGCATCGAGAGGCACCTTATCTATTGTGGCATTTGCTACTGCTAAGTAGCAGTGGTCTGAGGATGCCTATTTTTCCACCAAATTATTGGTAAAGGCTTGACAAAGTGAAGTTTGTGTATTTTTGTGCTTGAAATGTGTGTCATACACCTGTTGTTTATTCTTCCTGATTCCTTGATATCAATAAACAAGTAAAGCACACATGATTTTGTGCACTCTTAACACCATATAAAATCCATTCCATAATAAATGTGAAATGTGATTCACTTCATGGAAATCAAGGATGTCTAGTTTTGTTGTTGTTTGAAGGAGGCGTGTCTGTTAGAAGCAGATGTTATTATAAGTAAAATCCATATAACATCAGTTTGACAAATCTAGTTGTGAAAGGAGGTTTTCTGTTACCAACAAGTGTGCTAGTTCCTGATATCTGTGCTAGTGTCATATTAACGGGTTTAATTATCAATTTCCTTTATCAGAAAAAAAAAAAATCAATTTCCAATCTGCTTTGTAAATACTTCATATGCTAACTCTCCTGCATTGTTTTCCGCCTTGTGCATATAATAACTATAGAAATAGCTTGTTAAGAGTTTTAAGAAATGTAGGGCAAGATTTCTTCTTACTGGTAAATGTGCTTGTTTCTATTATTTTATTAGCTTCTTCTATTAATTATTTGCTAAGTTACTATCACATCTTAGTTTCAATTGATAATTTCTTAGACCCCTTATACATACTTGATATGTTTCCATCTTTGTAAATAATTTCTATTTTCTATGTATTACTCCTATGTAACTTACCCTTTCTTCCATTCCCCAATGCAATGAGGAAACAACTTTTTTTTTTTTTTGAAAGTACCAGTCATACTATCTATTGTGAATTTCTGAGTTAGAGTGCTTAGAATGAACCACTAGTTATGTGAGCAAGGTGGGATATAAAGTTGGGATTCATATGCATTGGCCCTACTGTTATCATGATTATGTAAGTGCACTAAGCTCCTGTTTGTGTGTAAGGTTTGGTGATCACTAGAGGTGGAAACAATACGACTTGACATGAACTTGTGCTGTATGACTGGGTTAGGTTTTGCTCATGTTGACCTGTGAGCCATGACCTGCATATTACCATAAGATTACCTATAAAGTACTTGAAAGGGTCAGGTTAATGGGTTGACACATGATTTACCTGCATAAAAATGCAAAATAAAGTAAAACTTAGTTTAGAAATAAAATGGTCAATCCATGGCCTGCTAGGGGTGGGTGACGAACCCAAACTTGAACCAGACCCACTTGTTTGCCATCCCTAATCACCAGTTATTAACTATTTAGTTTCATACTTTCTATGGTGCTTTGAGATGAGTAGAGTTCAGAACCCTGAAGACACTGAAAGTGGTTCTACCTGCTGGAATCCATAATGGATAAAGTTATATTATGTGACTGACTAAATTTTGGTTAAACTTCTACCTCTTTGAATGCTTTCTGCTGGGATTTTATCTAATGTTTTCATATCTCATGGGTTTTTTCAGTTTTGAGCAATTCTGCATTAATTTGACAAATGAGAAGCTTCAGCAGCATTTCAACCAGGTTTGTTTGCTAAAATCATTTTCGTTCTCATTATCTTTTGCATTTCTGATGCACAAATTTCTTGGTGAGCAGCATGTTTTCAAGATGGAGCAAGAAGAATATACAAAAGAGGAAATTAATTGGAGTTATATTGATTTTATTGATAATCAAGATGTTCTGGATCTCATTGAAAAGGTTTGTGGTATCTACCTTATGCTGAAATTTTCTTTTGCTGGTATTTTTATATTGTTTCAATTGATTTGATTGTCTGCTCTGATGTTCAATCTTTTTAAAGTGAACTTTGCCAATGGTCATGGTATTAGTTCTGTATTAATGTCTTTATATTCATACTTAAAAACAATGAGTACATCAAATACTGCACTACTGCTACATACTTGTCTGACATGTCACGTATTATCATCTTGCTATTGACTTGGTGGTTTTAGTTATTTATACTTGTTTTGTTTTATGCCCTCTCTGAAAGCCAGCTTCCTAGAATGATGTGGGAATGTACTTGGTAAACAGCCAATGTAGAATGTGTAGTCAAATCTTAATAGCATAAATCCAATAAGGATAGAGTTAAATGGAAGCAACAATTCATCTAACCAACCAAAGCAAGAATGAGGCTTTATTGAGATCAATGGTTGATCTGAAATCATTCAATTGTATATTTATTGAACATTTCAAGAAGTGGGTGAAACCATATTTGCTGCAGCAGGCTTGGTATAAAACCTTCCTCCTGAAAAATGAAAGAGGAAAATTTAAGGGAGGAAAGAAGGGCATGGGAGAAGTCTGAAGAGAAAGTAGGAGATGTTTCAAGGACAAGGTGTCAAATTCTTGTAAATTAAGCCCAACCTTAGATTTGGCTAGTTTATTCTAACCAGATTCCTGCTAAGAATCTTGTGCAATCAAAGCAAAATATATGGTAGAAATGATTCACTATCATAAATTCCTTTATTTCTGTCTGCTTGTGTTAATTTCTGTTAGTAACAATTTGACAGGAAGGATTTGTGTCAATGCTTTCTTTAATTTGAATTTTGTTTAACTCATTCTCTCCTGTTCTTGATTTTCAGAAACCTGGTGGCATAGTGGCCCTTCTGGATGAGGCATGGTAAGCAATAATTGGTTAGGCATTTGCCATTATCTGATGTGGTTCACAAGGATTAATATTTCTTTCATTTTGTTTACTATTTGTTAATTTAGATTAGACCATTCTGGTTGTGAGATAGCTGAGTTTTTCCCTTTTCCTTTTCTTAAGTATGTTCCCAAGATCAACACATGAAACATTTGCTCAGAAGCTCTACCAGACATTTAAAAATCATAAGCGCTTCAGCAAGCCAAAATTGTCCCGCAGTGACTTCACAATTTGCCATTATGCTGGCGATGTATGATTTCTTTCTCTTTATAGTACATGCTCAGTGTGGAATGAATGTAAGATGCAAGTTGTTAATATATTTATACTTGGGTAAAAAACTTGAGTTATTTTTCAGGTCACTTATCAAACTGAATTGTTCCTGGACAAGAACAAAGATTATGTTGTTGCTGAACATCAGGCCCTTTTGAGTGCTTCCAAATGCCCCTTTGTGTCTAGTTTGTTTCCACCTTTAGCAGAAGAATCCTCAAAGACATCAAAGTTCTCTTCAATAGGTTCTCGGTTTAAGGTATGGCAGTATTTCTTTTCTTTTATGGGATTATTACTTCTTCTGTCAGTGTATTGATTTACAAAGTCACCTTTTGTATTTTATACAGCAACAATTGCAAGCATTGCTTGAAACTCTCAGTTCCACTGAGCCGCATTACATTCGATGCGTAAAGCCCAATAATGTTCTTAAACCTTCAATATTTGAGAGTAAGAGTGTTCTGCAGCAACTACGATGTGGGGTAAGGAGGTTGCTATCCTATATTATGTCACTTTGCCATTGTTGTGATTAAATTGCCTTCTTAGCTTATACACCTTGATATTATCTAATCTCAGGGAGTCATGGAAGCAATCAGGATTAGTTGTGCTGGATATCCTACTAGAAGACCATTTTATGAATTTGCAGAAAGATTTAGCATCCTTGCACCAGAAGTTTTGGATGGAAGGTTTTACATTTATTTTTCTTTTTTCATGTAAGATGTTTACAGAAAACTGTTTTCTTACTCTTTTCTTGTATGTGCATGTTAGTTCTGATGAGGTTACTGCTTGTAAGAGGCTTCTGAAGAAGGTGGGACTAGAAGGCTATCAGGTAATAATTTGACAAACAACTGAATAACATTCTTTGAATTTGATTCAGCTAGAATTTCTCTTCTAGTTGTTAGTTAATCTCCTCTAAGATCATTATATGTAAATGAGATGCATCATTCTTTCAAACTTTTATGCATTGTTACTTCTTGGGCGAGGGGGCTTGGGTGTGGTGCATTAATGTTCTGTGTTAGTGGCTTGTATCTTAGAAGCCTTTTGGCTGTGAATTCATGGAGACATGATACATATGTGAAGATAGCAAGGTAGTTCATTCCATGCTAACAAGCAAAATTGTCTAGCAATTTATGTTCAGATGTTCTGGTTTTATTTGATGTACTAAGGAGTGTTATAAAATATAACTCGACTGCTGTCATGAATATTTGATTTTGCAGTTGTAATCTGCTTGTTCCTACTGGTCTACATCTCTTTTGTCTTTGGTTTTTGACAAAATCACGCTGATTGCCTCTCCTTTTTTTGTTGTTTTAATCTTTTCTTAGATTGGTAAGACAAAGATATTCCTCAGGGCTGGTCAAATGGCAGAACTAGATGCCCGTAGGAGTGAGGTCTTAGGAAGATCTGCTAGCATTATCCAGAGGAAAGTCCGATCTTATTTAGCTCGCAGGAGTTTTGTTTTGCTCCGTTTGTCTGCAATATGGATTCAATCTGTCTGCAGAGGTATTTATTTTCTTATGACAAATTTTGTGATGCAGGTCTTTAATTGGCTAGACTAACGTTCGCATTGAAGCCTTTTTATCATATTTACCTGTTGTAAATTTTCATCTGTGCTATTTCCAGGTGATCTTACTCGCAAAATTTATGAGGGCATGAGAAGAGAAGCTGCCTCTTTGAGGATCCAGAGAGATTTGCGTGGGCATCTTGCTAGGAAAGCTTATAAAGAATTGTGTTCCTCTGCAATTTCCATTCAAACTGGTATGCGTGGAATGGCTGCTCGGAATGAACTACGCTTCAGAAGGCAGACTAGAGCAGCCATCAAAATGCAGGTGGGGTTTTTTTTTAATTGTTTCCATGATGTGCACACATTTCCTTCAATTGCCAACAATTTTACAACTTTGAATGCATTGCAAGGATGGTTTTGGAGCAATTTCATGCCTTCTCATCTATGCTTCATGTGGCCAAACCTTCTTTAATCTCATTTCTTTTTCTTTCCTGGAATGGCTTCATCTGTACTCTACAGAGCCAATGTCGCAAATACTTAGCTCGATTGCATTACCTGAAATTGAAGAAAGCAGCAATTACAACACAATGTGCATGGAGAGGAAGAGTTGCACGCAAAGAACTGCGGAAGCTTAAAATGGTGATTTTCTCCCTTTTTTTTTCTCCTTTCACATAACATGGTTAGGAAAGTTTTCTGATGCTTCATCAGCTCATCCTGTTATCATCACTTTCATCAGAAGGCTGAAGTCTTGCTGAAATTCCATGCATCCAGAAAAAAAATCTATTTATGGAGCATAATAATTGTAATGGTCTCACTGGCCAAAAAAATTGTAATAGTCTAAGTTGCACCTTATAGAGGCATGGAAACTGGATATTAGGTTCTGCTTTCATTGTTCCACTTCCATGTTTTTAGTTGCTATTTTTGCTTTTGTGGATTTAATACTCTTGTTTTTCCATGGCCATAGAGTTTTGATTTTGTGAGTGTGAAATAATCTGAATATTTTTTTTATTTCTTGCTATATTGCTTGCAGGCTGCAAGGGAAACTGGAGCTCTGCAAGCTGCTAAAAATAAACTGGAAAAGCAAGTTGAAGAACTGACATGGAGATTACAGTTAGAGAGACGCATGAGGGTGAGTATAACAATGGTTTTGTTATGATTGTTAATCTAGTGAGCCCAGAAGAGGTAAAAAGATGTAGACTTGTGTGGTAATTTTGTGAGCTAGGCTCTTCTTAAATTAAATGTTAATCCTGTTCTTTTATCAGTTTTATTCATAAATCCATGTTCCATATTGTGCACGAGAAAAGTTACAAAAAGTTATAGTGTATGTTACTATTTTTCCTCATTGCATAATCGTATGGTTAGGCTATAATGTGTTGTTTTTCCTTGTGTTGTAAGAAAAATCTAGATTAACAAATGGAAGAAGGAATGTAGCAGTTTATCTTCTTGTTATATATTCCTGACTGCATTCTGCTTCCACTATTTTCTTTTCTCAGGGCTTAATCCATTCTTAATTAACTCTGTAGGTTGACATGGAAGAAGCTAAAACACAAGAAAATGCCAAACTTCAGTCTGCTTTGGAAGATATGCAACATCAGTTCAAAGAAACCAAAGAGCTGCTCAGGAAGGAACGTGAGGCTGCTAAAAAGGCAGCTGAGGTGGTGCCTGTTATACAAGAGGTCCCAGTTGTTGACCATGAAATGCTGGAGAGGCTTACAAGTGAAAATGAAAAGCTGAAGGTAAGGAGGCAGTGCCAACTGTCTATGTTACACAGTAAATTGAGCATGTTTTCTAGGGCTCTTTTAACACAATTTTCATAATTCTCCTTTTCTGATATACACAGGAACTGGTGACTTCACTGGAAAAGAAGATTGATGAAACAGAGAAAAAGTTAGTTGAGACAAACAAAATAAGTGAAGAAAGGTTGAAGCAAGCCCTAGAGGCCGAATCAAAAATAATTCAGTTAAAGACTGCTATGAACAGGTAATTTTGTACTTGGGTTATGTTTAACATCCTGAGAAAGTTTTTTTTTTTTTGACTGATTTATAGGTTATCATAATGATTGAGAAAAATTTTGGAATTGAGCTTATATTCATCCATCATGGTCTATATTTTTCATTTTGTAGTCTTGAAGAGAAAATTATTGATATGGAATCTGAAAACAAAATTCTGAGGCAGCAAAATGTTTCAAGCACAGCTGTTCGGAAGAGTTTTGAGCACCCACCAATTCCACCCATGCAGGTAAATATATCATTTATCATCATCATCTTTCCACCATATGTGATTATGTGATTTTCTTCTTTTTCTTTTTCAAATTTTGCAGAGTTTGGACAATGGTCACCTTGGGGATGAAGAGACCAGACTGAATGTATCATACCTATCTCATTGTCATTCCCTGTGATCATACTTTATGCTACTTCTGGTTGTTGACAGACATTCTTTCTGCAGGAAACATTGAGTTCAACTCCAAGTAAGAAGTTTGGTACAGAATCTGATGTCAAGTTGAGGAGATCACAGCTTGATCGCCAACATGTATGTGCTAATGACTGTCTTTAGTTTCTCATCTTGAAGCTTCCTTTCTATGAATAGTTCCAGTTGCTAACATTGGGTTTATATTCTTTCAACAGGAGAATGTTGATGCTCTTATTAGCTGTGTTTCAAAAAACATTGGGTTCAATCATGGAAAACCTGTTGCAGCTTTTACCATATACAAATGTCTTCTCCACTGGAAATCTTTTGAAGCTGAGAGGACTAGTGTGTTTGATCGTCTTATTCAGTTGATTGGTTCTTGTATTGAGGTATTTTAATTCATAAATTATATAATTGAAAAGTACATCTTTTTGGGCTTTAAAGAGTTAATAGCTCAATCATTTTGGATTATCAGGTTTTTCCAATGTAATTGGTTAATATTAATCTCAGATGAGTTAATGTTAAGTTAGAGAGTTCAGTCATAATAAATGTCATACATTCAGAGTCTAAGTGATTTTAGCTTTTCTAAATTTATCTGATAGCAATTGAAAGTTGAAACAAATCTTGATTCTAGGAAGCTCAAAGTATGGCAGAGTTGGATGTGGTTTTCAATGTTCTATGACATGGCCTAAGATTCTACAACTTCTATGGATTTGCTTTTGTGCACCTATGAACAACTTTTTAGTATAATTACTGTAACATTATAATTTGATTTTAACTTATGGGCTAATGATGATGTTGGATGCTGTATTTACTGTTATTATGCTTATTGTCAGTTGTAGAACATCTCTTTTATGTATTACTTGGCTCTAGGCAACTTTCTGAGTCTTAATGCTTGCATAAGTTTTTAAGTAGTTATCTTTTCTGTAATCATTAAAGAGCATATATGAGATCACACTTTTATCTTTCTGTTTAATTTATATTGTCTAAGATTCTTTTATTTTACTTTCGTTTCTTTATGCCATCCTTAAATTATGCTAGCAATTGTTAATAATTGAAGTATCATTGCTCTCATTGGATGTAGAATGAAGATAGTAATGATCAAATGGCTTATTGGTTATCAAACACATCTACATTATTGTTTTTGCTCCAAAGAAGTCTGAAGTCTGCTGGTTCAACTGGTGCAACTCCGAGTCGGAAACCACCTACTCCAACCTCCCTGTTTGGGAGGATGACCATGGTATTGGGAATACTCCTATTCCCTTTAAAGAAGTTTATATTTGTGAAGTCAGAACCTGATGGTTTTTATATTCTTCTCTTGTAATTCCAGGGTTTTCGTTCATCTCCTTCTTCTAACAACCTTGCTGCTGCTGCTGCACTTGCTGTAGTTCGGCAAGTAGATGCAAAATACCCGGCCTTGCTTTTCATGCAGCAAGTTGCAGCATATGTGGAAAAAATTTATGGAATCATCAGAGATAACTTGAAGAAAGAGTTGCATTCCTTGCTTAACTTATGTATCCAGGTATGTTGTGCTTCAGCTAGTTTTTCTTTGCAACAATTCAAAGCTAGAATGCTTATTGCCTGGTGCGTGCTAAAGTTCAGTTAGTTTCATTTTTGCATATCTAAACTGCAATTCATGTCTTTTTAATTGGCCATGCAAAATTTTAGGCCCCAAGAACATCAAAGGGAGGTGTGCTACGATCTGGGCGGTCGTTTGGCAAAGAGTCTCCTTCAACTCATTGGCAGAATATCATTGATGGCCTCAATACCCTACTTTGCACTTTGAAAGAAAATTTTGTATGTAACATTTTGCCTTGCTTCTTAATCTTTGGTTCTTTCAGTGCTTCATTTTTGCATATAGATGTATGGAGGTCCTAATGGTAATGAGGTTTCAGGTGCCTCCCGTTCTTGTCCAGAAGATCTTTACTCAGACATTTTCGTACATCAATGTGCAATTGTTCAATAGGTAATTGTGATCTGCTCTGGTTTATTTTTCATTTCTACATAAGTTTTGGTTATATTTAGGATGTCTGGTGATCTTCCAGCCTTCTTCTACGCCGTGAGTGTTGTACATTTAGCAATGGAGAATATGTGAAGGCTGGATTAGCTGAGTTAGAGCTTTGGTGCTGCCAGGCAAAAGAAGAGGTGACTTTGTTGTAATTTTTGTTTTTCTCCATGTTATTGCTGCATCTATTGCATGAAAGCTTGCTAGTTCTTGGTGGCTAACGTCTTTAGGTGATTATTTTTATTTTTATTTTTTTTGTTGTGCTTTAATCTTCTTCCACTGCAGTATGCTGGGTTATCATGGGATGAACTTAAGCACATAAGGCAGGCTGTTGGATTCTTGGTATGCTTCTGTTCTTTAATTTCAGCACACCATTTAACAGTATAGATAATGTGATTATAGTTGCGTTTTTCATTGTTGAACTTGAACTTTTCTAGACTTCAAGTAATATGAATTTATTTGAATTGGTTATCTCTATCTCAAATACTTAAGTTTAGATGTCATGCAGTTCAAAATCTTAAACATGCTGAGAGTACTTGGGAAGGAAGAATGCAAAAATATTTACTGAAACCTTATAACAACAGTAAATAGCTATCTTTTAACCTTGCTTTTATCAATCTTGATCAATAGGTTATACATCAGAAGTACAGAATTTCCTATGATGAAATCACCAATGATCTCTGCCCTGTAAGCCTCTCTCTCTCCACATTTGTTTCTGTATGTGTGTGGGTGAGTTTCTAACATAAATCTATCATATCTTCAGATCCTCAGTGTTCAGCAACTTTATAGAATATGTACTCTCTACTGGGACGACAACTACAATACTCGAAGTGTATCTCCAGATGTAAGTTTCCTTGCTCTAACTTCTTTCTATATATATATACATATATATTGGCTTTGGAGGTTTTTTCATATTCCTACTCAATCTGACTACTTAACAACTTGCACCTTTGCCTCAATCTGCAGGTCATTTCCAGCATGAGGGTACTCATGACAGAGGATTCCAACAATGCTGAAAGCAGTTCATTTTTATTGGATGACAATTCCAGGTAAAAGTTTCTCAGACTTGCATATGCTTTATGGTCCTAAAACTAGGTTCCTAGTATGGCTTTAGAAAAAGAATCACCTTTTGCACTGGTTTCAAGCATGAGAAATGATTCAGAAGGATTTTCTAAGATTCTATAAAATGAGAGAAAATCTCCTTTTACCATCTTTCATGATCTTATGGTTTGCATAAAAATGCATAAACCTAAATAAGATGATCAGAATTTACTAGAGAAACTAGTTAATTAATTTGTTTGGTATGTACTTAATTGTGGGGTTAAGATAGTGGGTTCAAATGTCTGCAATAGCTAAGCAGTAAGCACTAACTTCTTCACCGATAAAACATTATATACTTACTCTGCCTAAACAAGCCTTGATCCTCCCTTACCACTAATACGATGATTCTTCTGCCTTGAACAATTAATTGAGTACATGTTCTTAAACATTGAGAATGAAATATTGCCTTGTTGGAATTTACGTTTTATAAACAAACTAATCCATCCTTTTTAATACAGCATCCCCTTCTCTGTGGATGACCTTTCCAATTCAATTCAAGAGAAGGACTTCATAGATGTCAAACCAGCAGAGGAACTCCTTGAGAATCCAGCCTTCCAGTTTTTACACGAGTGAGGGTTAGGAAAGCTCAAATGCGCTCTTCCTCCTTTTTCATTGAGGTGGGCAATAGTGAACTCAAAACCCTGATGATAAAAATACTCTTTTTTGTAAATCCAATTCTTTTTTTCCTCCCCTCTACATTCTTTTCTTTTTTAAAATCCATGCCCCTAGTGTAAAATGTTCCATTGGTTAATTTTTTAAAAATTCAATTTGTAAAGTCTGTCATTTGAAGGGGGCATGGATTTGTTGAGGTTGGTCGAGTGGTTTCTTTTTTAATTATATTATTTTTGTTCTGCATGCCATAATAGGCTGCAGTGATTTTTATAGGGAGTTTGGTGGAATGCAGTATCTATTGTAGTTTGGTGGCTGAGGCATTGATCTCTCCACCCAGTTTTTGTTGTATAAAGGATCCTAGTACAACAGCAATGCATATATAGTTATGAGATTCATTTGATGTTTCATTTTCAGCTCAAGCATTTTACCTTTTTAATTTGAAATGCATTCCCCTCCTTCGTAGGTAAGATTGAATTCTAGGTTATTGATTATTCTTTGTGAATGGTTATGCCTAGTTCTCAGTATGGGTGTATGTCCATGTGTGTGTGTGTGTGTTTACTTCATCAATCTTTGTGGAACAGTCTGTTCTGGTCATGGATTTTTCTCCCTATATCGCTAAAGTTTAGTTTTGTAAAAACTCTACTTTTAGAAGCTGGTTTGTGTCTTCAATTTTTTGCCTTTTAGAAGCTGAAAACTTATATAAAATTCAGAAGCACTCTTCTGAAAATTGTATTTGACCTAATTTCAGCGTTTGTAATAAAGAATATATTTTCAAAAGGCTAGGCCAAGTCCTTGGGCTGGGATGGACTGGATCATGATTTGCTCAAAATTTTTCTCTAGGGGTTTTGTCAATTAGAGAATCGTGGCCTCAAATTCTATTTCTATAGCTCAAAATACAATAAAACTATAACAAGGAAATAGGTGATTTAGTCCGCCAAACCCAGGCCAGGAAGGTGATTCTGTGGAAAGTAGATGAATTTATGAATTTTTAAAATTGTTAACTAAAATTAAAAATTTTTTCATTATTAATTTTTGTAATTTTATTTTAGTATAATGATGCGTAATTTTTTACAACAAAAATAAAAATTTGATGACGGCAGCGTTACAAAACAGGCCATAAGCATTTGTGATGCAGAAATTATGATGACATTGACGATTAAAACCCTTCTTGCTATAATCTCTTGTTCTCATCCATCTTAATCAAAGGAAGGTGATAACTTCGTAGTTATGAGATGTACCATCTCGTCCAATTCATGAATAATGAGATATTTACTTGTTTTGCGATGAAATAGATTGAGAGAAAAAAAAGTCACAATTAGGATTTGATCGCAATAAATAAGAATTTGACAACGAAAATCTTGAATTGAAGCATAAATTTGTTTCTTTTGCAGCCATGAGGAAATCACATAGCTCGCAACCATCCCCACCACCTAGTACACTAGGCTACCTAACCACACCCTTCTCTTCTCTGCCACAAGCGAAGGTCTTGAATAGAGGTTTGGGACCATATAGGCATAGGGCATTAAGATTCAACCTTCTCGAAGGACCATTAATGGGACACCTTTCATTCCAGTCCAACTGTAGTTCCATTATTCTTCATGGTCCAAATTTGACTTTTACCCTCATGGTAGCTGGCAATGACAGAAATCTAATTGAGTGCATATCAAGGATATATTTTCAATATTAAAGGCGAGGAGATTCGAATTCATCTCTTATCAACGAATGAATATGAACCTTATTAACTGAGCTGAAAGCACATATGCATAAAAGATATATTTTTAGTTGTATACAAACAGAACAGTATATAGAGTTTGGTCCATGAGGGTGGTTAGCCACTGTAGCTCACTTGACTCAGCCATTTCCATTCCAGTTATGTTTCGCACCATGTTGCTGAAGTTGGTCAAGGCGTTCCTTAGTCTGGCTGCTGGCACATGATGATTTGCACGAAAACACAGAAAATCCACATGCATCATACACCCATCTGACCATCTTGGGCCCATTTTATTTTCAATCATTCTAAACCTTGCCATGCATGATTCGGTTAAATCCATTTCAAAATAAATAAATAAATAAATAAAACCGCTGCTTTCTTTTATTTTCCTTCTATTTTTTTCCTTGGCTCTTAATTTTCGTTTATGAGATTCATGAATCAGAATATATTTGTTCGGTGTTATTAAGATTTTATTATAAAATAATACTGTGTGTGAATCAACTTCAAAGTGTATTATTAGATCTAAAATTAAGAAATTCGTTAAAAATTATGTATGTTATTATAAAATGGAATCTTGGTGAATAATCTCAACATGTAACTCATCATCCGACTTCTCTAAGCTTTAGAGGCACGTACACAAGGTATTACTCTTTTTTTTTTTTTTTTATTAACCTCTCAGTATCCAATAGAATCTGAAATCAAGTCACGTCGGACCACATTAGAGGGGAAGCTCTCCCTGCACTTATTTTTCCATTTACAAGACTCGAACTTAAAATCTTATTTAAGGGAATTGAACTCCTTCCACTCAGACCAACAAGTAGTTGGTACAAGGTATTACTCTTTCATAAAGGGAGAATGGACATTTGGGCCCAAATCATTGAGGGCAGTACTGATATCCTTCAAATCCCTATCACAGTTCTGTTGTCTTTTACGAATCAATGCATTTCTACTGTATCTATTAAGAAAAAGAGAGAATTGACATCCATGATGCTAATTGGTAAGCTTTTTGGAGTTGGAACATGTAGAAATTTCTTAGTAAGTTTATAGCTAAGGGACCATCATATATAGCTAAAAATTACAAACACTCTCGAAAGAGTATGACTTCCCAGTGAGTCAGTGACTGGTGAGGAGAGAGTACAAGGCATGAATTGCATCCAACGTAAGCTTGTAGGCCGGTCTTTATCCTCTTTATCTCATCTCACATGCAGATCGTTTTATTGAAAGTCTACAATTTTCATCCTTTAAAAAGATCACATAAATATTAATGAATCTTTAGAAATATATATACTTTGTTCAGAAGTACATCTTTAGAAATACATACATCCCAACGATCAAGAATATAAGTTTTTAAATTAAAAGTTTTATGTTAGAGTGGGAAGCCAAGGACTGATTTGGAAAAGAAATAGTTATCAATTATTGTATAGCTCATCATCATCGAAAGCTTAATTATATTATAGGAAAATAATTAGTACACCCTTTGGTTTAACATACTTTTTGACGCGTGCCCGATTAGCAATTAAAATATAATATAAGCATAACTGATTCAGTTGATTTTTTTATATTGTATGTATAGTTACATTTTTAAGCATGTTTACTTTTAATTTTATATCAGAAAATAATAATTTATTAATAAGAATATAGTATGTTGTGTGTTGAATTGGATGATGTATTAATAAGTGTCTTATATTATATAGTATTTGTTATTATTGTTGTGATTTGGGAGGACTATGGTTTTTTCAAACAAAAAAAATATTGCAAATGTGGTTTGGTGGGAGAGTGTCTTTACTTTATAGTAAGGAAAATGCTACAAACACCCTCTTATGTTACACATTCTGTTACATACACTCACTCTCCGTTACATTCCGTTAACTCCAAGTGTACCCAGCCCAGCCATTTCTTTCTCTCTCCCCTTTCCTTTCTCCTTCTTGCTATTCACTGTCCTCACCAAATCCATCTTCCTCCTCACCTCCATCCTCATCCTAATCATCTACAGCCTCATCTTCCTCTTCTTCATCATCGTTAGTTTCACTAGCATAGAGCATGAAGTTGAGCAAGTGGGAACTTGCAAAGGAACCCAAATTTGGTGTTGGGGAAGGGGGGAGAAAATGAAAGGATTTAGAGGTTGAAGATAATGATTTAGGAACCCAACAGCCTAGGTTCCTTGGAACTCTTCTTTCCACCATGGTGGTATGCCCTTGTTTAGATCTTTCTTTTATCTTTTTTAATGGGCATAGTCTTCTCTAGATCTTCATGGTTTCATGGTTTTTTTAATCTAGGTAATTGTTAATTTTCTCAATTTTTGAGCCATTTTTGTTGGGGGTTTGAAGTGCTATATTGATTGATTAACTTTGTACTTGCTACACTGTTGAGCTTTCTTTGTTTTCTTTACTATCTTTTACTCTAATGGGTGTTGGGGGGGGGGGGTTT